GCACGGGGCCCAGGTGTCTGAATCGGCGACCAGACTTCCTGGGTTTGCAAACTCACTCTACCACTCACCAGCTGAGTGACTGTGGGCAAGTTACACAACATCTCTGTGTCTCTGTATCCTCGTTTATGAAAACGAGGCTAAGAATAATAATGAACCCTGGTGTGGTGCTGTAGGAGAAACACCAGACGGCTAACTGCAAAGTCAGTGGTTCAAACCCACTAGCTGCTCTTGGAGACCCTCTGCAGGGTCGCTCTGAGTCGGAACCAACTCGACAACAACAGCAACAACAACCGTAGAAGAAAGCAGAGGCTGCTGCTTCTATAAAGACTGACAGCTTCCGAGATCCTAGGGAGCAGCTCTGCCCTGTCCTATAGATAGTGGCTATGAATCAGAATAACAGAGCTACTTCCGTTGAGTTGATTACAACTCATAGCAACCATAGAGGAGGACACAGAACTGCCCTGTGGCGATTCCTAGACTGTCGTCTTTACAGGAACCGAGCGATACATTTTCCTCCCAAGGAGCAGCTGGTGGATTCTAACCGCCAACCTTTGGGTTGTCAGCCAAGTGCTTAGCCTCTGCACCACCAGGGCGCCTGGTACCTGCATGGACAGAAATGTGGTGTCAGAAAGACTCGCTGAGCTCACAGATTGAGTGGCTGTTGGTTGCTGCAGAGCAGTGACCCCAGAATCGAACTTTTTTTTAGGGCTGTGACTTTTCAGAAGCCCATAGTTCGCACCTCTTGCTGAGTTCAAACTGCTCATCTTTCAACCGTTTGTGCTAACCCGGCACTCCGGAGACCACCACCCAGAGCTCTCTAGTGTGAGCATGATTAACCTCAGAGCCTTACAGAATGCCATGCCATTTGCTCGGATAATGCCATGTCTAAGAATGCATTGTGTCCACATGATCTAAGATTTATGCACATTGTGTAGTACTGGACTGCTAACCAGAAGGTCAGTGGTTTAAGCCTTTCCTCAGAAACCCCATATTGGGTCGCTAAGAGTTGGAACTGACTTAAGGGCACTTGACAACCACAACAGCAGGGATATGTTACAGCACTACACATGGACAAGCCTGTGACTGGACCTGCGTCCTCCTCGGTGGAGGGGACAGCCTGTTGTGCTTGCTGCCCTAACACAACAGTGGCCAAAAACACAGGGGTTGCAGCTGTAGCTATGGTTGTTGACGTGGATCCGTTTGCACTTAGCGATCTAGAAATAACCAAAGAACAAACCACTGGTGTGGCCAAGGGGACTGTCCTGGGGAGAAGGTGGATACCGCCTTCCTTCTGGCTTCCCTCCCGTCCCCCAGAAACCTTCTTCCCGCTGCACAGGGGTCTGCTGCTGGAACCCACTCTCTCCACGTTTACCTAGCCCAGGCGGTGTTGGCTCAGCGTCTTCACTTCTTGGGCCTCAGCATCACCTCTGGAATCTAAGATCCCTTATCCTAGCCCCCAAACTTCTTAGGAATGAAAATAAAATTGTAATGTCCCACTAAATAAAGGATCCATCTTCACTAACCGTCTCCGTAGACCCGGGCAGCAACTTTCAACTTGTTGTTCGGTGCCGTGGCCTTAGCTCTGGCTCATAGTGACCCTAACTATTAACTGCAAGGTGGCTGGTTCAAGCCCACCAGCCGTCCCCCTCAGAAGCCATTTACAGGGTCACTCTGAGTTAGAACTGACTCAACGGCGGCACTTAACAACAACAGGTGGGTTTGAACCGCCAATCTAGCAGTTAGCAGTCCAGTGCTTACCCTGCAGCGTCACGCCAGGACTCCAGCATTTCCCTTCGAAGGCACTAATTACATGAGGTGACTGTCAATTTATCTCACATATTTTCATCGATGATCATTTTGCCAAAAATGAGTAAATGCATAAAAAATGACTTCTCTTTTCCCAAAGGAGACACTTCTGAGCTGTCCCACATCCTTACCTCTTCGAGGAAAGAGCTGAAGCTCTGGAGAAAATACTTCCAATTTATATGGGGGATTAGGTGAAGTCTTAGTTTTCTCAAAAAATAGTGATACTGGTTATCAGACAATTGGTAACAGAAGTCCTTCAGAACTTGTCCAAAGTCTGCAGCCTTTAGAAACCCAGTGTCCTCTTTATCCAGCTCTGAAAAGGTCTGAAAGAGAAGACGAGAAATGATGGCAGATGCACTGTCAAGAGAACACTTCAAAAACACTTTTCCTTAAGTATCGTTTCTACTGAACGTAACTGACATCAGATGTTCGCCAAGCCTTGTGCTGGTGAGTTACTTGGAAGGACTAGTCAGTTCCACCAGCCGATGAGTCAGTTTCAACTCATGGCTACTCCGTGTGTGTCCGGGGAGAACTGTGCCCCCACAGGGTTCTCAGTGGCAGAGGTCAGCAAGTAGATGGCCAGGACTTTCCTCTGAGAAGACTTTTGGTGGACTCGAACTGCCAACCTTTTGGTGAGCAGCTGAGTGCTCCTTTAACTGTTTGCACCTCCCAGGAGCTCCATTGGCACTGGACTGGGAATCACAAGGTCAGCCAGCCATTCAAAGCCACCAGTTGCTCCTTGGAGACCCCATACAGGGTCGCTAAGAGTCGGAATCGTCTCGACAGCACTTCACACCACCACTCAGGGCTCCATCAAGGACAACACGTTAGTGCTGCTCGCCGGATAAGAGCTTTTGTGTGTTAGAGCAAAGCTGCCCTCGCCTGGCCTAGTGGAATACCGGGAGGACGGGGCTGAGGAGGATTCTGGTCCCATGGCCGGCTGTATGAGCCCAGCTTTACCCTGCTCTGATCACCCCCTTTTACAGAGAAGGAAAGAGGTTCCAAGCAGAGAAGTAACTCATCCAAGGCCTCTGACCACGACATTCAGCCCCTTCAAGATTCCTTGCAACAGGAGGCAGATCATGGCCGAGGGATAATCCCATAATCCCAGACACATGATGTCCAGGAGGAACCTGGCTTCCTCAGGGACCGTGAGCACAAGTCATGACGCACTCCCACCCAGGCGTTTACACCAGGGCTGCCAGCCTTTCGGGACCCTCCACCAGAGCCCGCACGGCCTTGCATATTGTGGGGAGGGGGTGTAGTCCTCCCTACTGCTGCATGCTGGGGCTGCCAGGGCAGGCAGCACGAGGCCGCAACAGTAGTCAAACTGAAAAAGTGCAAAAATGAGCTATAAAAAGAAAGCACATTTTTTCCCCCATCTGTCCAAACAAAATCATTCATTTTTATTGCATGGAGAAATCTGTATCAAGTCGGTATCAAAGATAAAGATCTCACTCTCTTTTAAGTAAGAATTTAATGTACTTGCCAACAGCAAACCCAAGTTCCGTTTCGGCTAATTCTCAGGCCGGGCTAATAGGCACACCCCATGGGCCCACAAGCAACCAAATTAGCCCGGGAAAGCTGTACAGCTCCCAGTCTTTATGACCCCCAGGTGGTGGCCGCGGGCCACTGTGTTTGCTGGAGGAAGCCCTGACCGGCAGGCAGGAGGTAACCTTTGGACCTTGGCTCTGCTGCCCACCACACACCCTGGAGCTCGCCGACTTTCAGCTTCTTTGCTATAAAAAGATGAACTTAACGACCCAAGATTTTGTTGAAAGCTGTACTAAGTCAACTTGAAAATATGGCGCCCAGGCCCTGGCACGAGAAGCCTCGGTGGCGCTGTGGATTAAGCACTAGGTCAGCAAGTCAAACCCACCAGCTGCTCCATGGGAAAAGGTAAGGCTTTCTGCTCTGTAAAGATTCACAGCCAGGAAACCCTGCACTGGATGGCAGTGAGTAAGAGACCAATGCTAAAGAGAAGGGCGAAGTGACCAGTGAGCTGAGCATTTCCTGTTGTGTAAGGAGTGTCTACGTTAGGAGAGTGTCCACACGTGGACAGTGTCCACATGAGACAGTGTCCATGCGTGGAATGTCTACGTGAGGAGACTGTCCACATAAGGAGAGAGTGTGCACGTGAGCAGAGTGTGTCCATATGAGGAGAGTCCACACATGGAGAGTGTCCACATAAAGAGAGAGTCCACATGATACTTAAGCCCTGAGAATGGTCTGCAGTCTCACAGTCTACGTAAACATAAGGTGGTCGTGCCATTGCAGAAGTTCGTTATGTTTGAGGTGTATCTCCACAGGGGTACAGAAATGTGTCTGTGTTCTGTTCCTATCTGTCTTTCCATCGTCTTTTCTGATGGCAATCTCTGAACAAAGGACTCTTCTTACTCTCTTGCTTAAGACTTCTAACGGTATTTTACTGCCTATGGACCCTTTCCCAAAAGTGAGAGCCATACTTCCTCCCGAAGTTCCCCTGGGTCTCCTAGAAGGCATCTTCTTAGTATGAGAAACACCTCAGCCCAATAGCTGTTCAGTGGCACCAATTTAGGCGGCTGCTGTTAGGGGCTGTCCATCAGTTCCCACTCATATCAACCCATGTACAAGTGAACAAAACACTGCCGGATCCTGTACCATCCGAATACTGTCTCCTATGGTTGAGTCTGGTGTGACATTGTAGGATACGCAATGGACGGCAAGGTCTGTTTGATCTGCAAGGTTGGCAGTTCAAACCCACCAGTCGCTCCTTGGAAACCCTATGCAGGGTCGCTGTGAGTCAGAACCGACTTGATGGTACTTTACAACATTTGAGCCCATTGTGGCAGCCACTATATCGACCATCCTCATTGAGGTCGTTCATTCTCTTTCGCTGACCCTCTACACAGAATGATGGGACTGGTCCATCCCGATGCCATGTCCAAAGCACATGTGACAGAGTCTCTCCATCCACTATTCTAAACAGCATTCTTGCTGTTTTCTTTTAAGACAGATTTATTTGTTCTTCTGGTAGTCCATGGTATAATCAACATTCTTCTCCAACAACACTAGTCAGATGCATCAATTCGTCTCCATTCTTCCTTATTCATTGTCCAGCTTCACACACACAATGAGTGGGTTGAAAACGCCATGGCTTAGATCAGGTGCACTTTAGTCCTAAAAGTGACACGTCTTTGCTCTTGAACACTTTAAAGAGAGGTCTTGTGCAGCAGTATGTGGTTTGGTTTGCTCAATGCAGTACGTTGTTTGGTTTCTTGACTGCTAATTCCATGGGCATCGATTGTAAATTCAAGTGAAATTAAATCCCTGATCTCTTCAGTCTTTCTCTGCTTATCATGATATTGCTTAGGGGTCCTGTTGTGAGGAATTTTGGTTTCTTTACACTGAGATGGAATCCATACTGAAGACTCTAGTCTTTGATCTTCATCAGTAAGTGCTTCAAGTCCTCTTCACTTTCAACAAGCACGGTGTGTCATCTTCTTCTCTCAGGCTATTAATGAGTCTACCACCAATCCTGATGCCACGTTCTTCTTCATCTAATCCAGCTTCTCGGATTATTTGCTCAGCATACAGACTGAATAAATATGGTGAAAACCACAATCCTGACACATAAATCATTCAGTGTCTCCACGTTCTGGTTGAACGACCGCTTCTTGGTCTATGTTCAGGCTCCTCATGAACACAATGTAAGTGTTCTGGAATATCCATTCTCTGCAATGCTGTCCACAGTTTGTTATGGTCCACATAGAGCTTTGCATAGTTAATAAAACACAAGTAAACATCTTTCTGGTACTCTCTGCTTAACTGTGTTTTTTTTCCCAATGTCTCAGGACAGCCTGAAGTTCTTCTTTTGACATCATTGGTTCTTGATGACACAATACTTCCTTTATTTCTTATTCATTTATTTTTTAATCAAGAATATTATTTATTACTTTTATATACTCTGCTGCCCCGCTGAAATGTACACAGCAAATTCTTCAAATTCAAAAACAAATTGGATTGAAACATCAATGCAGTAAAAAGTTATCCTCATACATAGTTCCAGAATTGTCTATTGGGGTGGGGGTGAATGTGACCTTATTAGGAACGGAGGCCTACTTTCCTACAGAAATAATCTTGCGTCGTGGGCTACTTTCATTAGTAGAGTTAACAGTTGTGGGGTTTTGTTTGGAAATTTAGAGGAACGATATCTACTTTATGTTCTTTTTTCACGAACGTTAGTTGGAGCTGAAAACATTACAGTGAGGTGACTACAGTTCCATACTGCCACATGCGTTAAAAGCCAATTTCAAACCTGCGTTAAATTATGCTGAATACAAAGTCTTGAGTAAAAAAGGCCTGTTTATAGAAACATGGCCGGTGTCCATTTTGGTCTGAAAATTTCAGGAAGGGGACTTCAAATGGCTTAGTGTTCGCAGGTTTCAATGCTAGAGCACAGGAAGAGACTCTGGCAGCCATTGTGAGACGCTCTTCTGCTACCAGAGCATCAAGTCTCTTCAGCAGGTCAGTGTTTGGTAAGAAAATTCCTGCCACCCATTCTCCATCCCCAGCTTCGGTTTAGGTCTTATATTTTCTGCGTCACCTCCGATAATGATTACCGTCACCATGTACACAGCACAATTTGACAAACCTGGATCCATACATACAACTGGAGAGCACTCAGCGACGTCACCTTTATAACCAGTTTCTTCCTCGAGTTCTGGAAGAGCAGCTGTTTCTGGGCTTTGATTATCATCTCTGAGACCTTGGGGAATCCCAAGCAGTAGATTCCCACTGGTGGTTGGAAATGTTTCACCAGGATGACACACACATTCATAGTGAAGAGTTCTTCCCAGAAGTGGGATAACTGTCACCCCATCGGCTGACTGTCCTTTCCTGGTCATACCTGTGTTTCCCAAGTTTGAATTTTACCAGGAGGATCAATGTAGTTGTTTTTCAAGCTTGACCTACTTTCCTTCTGAAATGAGCAGCTCTGAAATACTGGACTGTCTGGTTCTTTGAGAACACTCCCTTGGTTCTTGGTTTTTCATTTACAAACTAGTCAGTCTTTGCAGTCCTCAGGTAAGAAGTTCACATTCAAGGTCTGGAGGGAAGGGAAGGGGATTCCTGTGGGAAGGGAGATAGATGAAAGAAGAAACAGTGAGCACAGCTGCAGTCTCAGGAGATGTGAGCTTACTGCTTGGGATAGCAGTGCCTTGCAGTGGTTAACAGGATGTGCACTAGCCTCCCTCCCAGCACCTGTGATCCCTCCTTTAAATGGCTGAACCTCAACTTGTTCTTTTGGGTGCAGTGACTCTGTGTATTCCTTCCATCTTCTTTTGATGCTTTTGACATCGTTCAATAGAATCCTTCAATAGTCCAAGTCGAGGCTTGAATTTTTTCTTCAGTTCTTTCAGCTTAAGAAATGCTGAGGTTAGAAGAGGGTGAAGCCATACTGCAAGCACATTTGTTTGGTCTGAACAGCGCTTTTGAAAAATCTAAACAATGTGCTAATATTTAAAACTCAGGAGACTCAGTAGCTTCTTACAAAAACAAGAAAACAAATGGGCTCACGTTTCATCTCCAGCAAGGTGGAGGGGAGGCTACCCTGGCCTCTTCCTGACCCTCTTTATCATCCAATTTACGTGCAGCGCACACAAAATGTCTCTTCTGCTGTGGTGTGCCATGGAGTGGGTTTTGACTCCTAGCAACCCCGTATAGGGTTTCTGAGGCTGCAAATCTTTACAGGAACAGAAAGTCTTATTTTCTTCCATGGAGCAGCTGGTGGGCTCAAACCACCAACCTTCTGGTTCACGACCCAGAGCTTATCCTATAAAGCCACCACATTCCCATGCCTCTCCTAGCCAGTCTCTGTAACTCCCACCCAACAGCTAGTTCCTGACGGCTCTAAGTTTGAGAAGGGGAGGGAAGATGCTAGTGAAGTACGTGTTTGTGTTGTCAGTGATGGTCAGCAGGGTATAAAAAGGGCCATCTCAGAAGCACGATGGGGGAATTTCACTAAAGAAGGAGTCACGAGTGGACAAAGACCTTTGGACTGAGATCTCTGTGCACTGAACCTCCTCCAACCGGTGACAGAAAGCCATGACACCAGAGGAGGGACAGAGGGACAGAGGAGATCCAAACAGCAGCAAGACCAAGAGCTAGAGTGGTGGGCTTCCCAGTCAAGCTGAGTGTCTGGGTGGGAAGCTTGTTTGTAGAGTGGGGTGCCTCCACGCACTTAAGTGGGGAGCTAGGTTTGTTGACCCACGGAGCCAGAGCTGAACGCCTTCAGGCTGAGGCTTATGGTTGAGTGGTGTGTTCTGTGGGCAGTTCCCTCAAACGTTGCTGGAGCAGGGCAGAGGCCAGGTCATGGGGCCGAAAGCCAGAGAGAGGCTGTCCTACGTGGGACCGCTGTGCCCTAAGCATCTCTGACAGTGAATTCTAACCTGTTAACGTCCCTAATGAACCTCGTAACTGTGAGGATGGCGTCGGAGTGCTACGTGGTCATCACAGTGAATTACCGAAGCCCGCTGAGTAGAAAGTGCTTCGGGAGGGAGGTCTGAAGTCACTTCACACCTGCTCCCTTGTGGGCATTTCAGCAACCATTCCTACGGGGAGCCCCGGGGACCAGTGGAACCAGAAAACATAAGCCAGGGTGTTGACAGACGAGGCAGTGAGAACCAGCTGTGGCCTTCCACCTGACCCACTAGGTGCTCCCACTGACTCTTCTCCGCGACCTCTTTAGAATGAGCCCCTAAACACTCCAGGTGGGCCGCACCTTCGACAACGCCTGGTGGGAGGAGTTGACCACCTCCTGGACCTTCTTCACCACATCCTCTGGACTGAGTGCCGCAAAGCTGATGGGGACACTCTCTTCTTTCTCCGGCGGCGGAGGGCTGGCTGACGCACTGCTGTCCACCGCTTTCAAGAAGTCAAGGTAATTGACAGACTTATCTTGCCAGCTGACTCCCAAACTTAGGCGAAGCCCCAAAAGAAAGAAAAGAACTTCAATTAAAAACACACAGACACACACTCCATCACTTACTCACTCAACAAACAGCTGCTGAACGCGGAGCAATGAGGGGAATAGGAATGCGTAGAGGCCACTCTTTCTTGCGCAGCAGGTGTATGAATACAATTAGCTGTGAACTTAGGCCCACAAGAACACTGCAATAGAAGGAAAGAAGACCAGGGTCATGAGAGGTGGGGTGTGGGGCCGCTATTGAACGGAGGGCCATAGACTTCCTGCCCAGAGACCTGGAACATGAATGCTCACAACAGCACCCCCCAGCTTTGGAGAACACAAAGTTGGTAAGGGAATGGCCGGGGCCGGTGAAGGAGCTCCGGGAGGAATGCGCCATCTGCAGAGTGGCAGACTGGGGGAGAAATCTGGCATCCAAGATGGTCTGGAGGTGAGACTGAGGGCAAGCGGTGGGCACATAGGAAGCGTGGAGCCTAGACAGGAAGTTCCGGTGGTCATCGAGGCCTCAGCTAGTAAGGACCTGGATCCCAGACATGGCAGTAGGATTTGAAAGGAAGGGAATATGTCAAAGGCAGCAAAAAGTATAAAAGGGACTGAGTAAAATGTCTATTCAGTTCTTTTTAAAGACTGGTTGAAACTACATCGTCAAACTGAAAGCCTGCAGAAGATACTTTTATAAACCCTATAGAACTATGTATGTATCTGGTGGCTGGAGTCCTGGGGTGGCGCTGTAGGACCAGCACTGGGCCACTAACTACAAGGCCAGCAGCTCAAACCCACGAGACGCTCCTCAGAAACCCTCTACGGGTTCACTAGGAGTTGGAACTGATTCAACTGCACTTCATGACAGGAACAGGGTCTCTTAGTCAGAGGCGACTCCACAGCACCTAGTAACAGCAGTCACAATGACAACGACAAATGGGCTTGAGGCTTGTCCACTTGCCAAAAGGTTGCCATTCATACCAGGACCCAGAACCGGTTCTTTCCGGTTTGATCCCCTGCTGAGAATTTGCTTTTCCACCCATGATACGAATCATTTTAACAGGGGTTTACGATACAATCTCCCGGGGAGCTTACAATGTGACTCTGATTCACAATCTCTGGGTTGGAACAGCCACTTCTCATCCAGGAGCTGAATCAGAATAAATCAACCTGAAGCCCGGGGTCATACTTGCTCAGAGGCATCTAGGAAGGCAGGCCTGGTGACCTGTTTCTGAAACATCAGCTTTCAAAACCCTGTGGAGCAGTGCCCCTCTACACGGGTGGGGTTGCCAGGAGTTGGAATCAACTCCATGGCAACGAACCACAACAAACAACATAGCTACATGGGTATATACTAATTACAAAAGTAAAAATTCCATTTGGATCTTTAACTCGGCGAGGATGTACGTCCATGTAGAAATAGAGACCCTCTTGTCCTGAACTCTGACACAGGATCAAAAAGTGAGATGAGAAAGCTCAAACTTTCCTAAGCACAGAGAGCGTATTTACGAAACGTGTAAAATCATTCAGAACTAAGCTTCATTGCATTTGAAGTTCATATTTCTGTAACTTTAACACTTAGACTTTCTTTCAGCAAGATTGAGTTCAAGTATCAAAGAACAGCTTGAAAAGTTGGTGAGCCGGATGGAGAAGTCTCCAAAGACAACGAGCCAAGAACTGTACTTTTCCAACCCACAGCTGCACAACAGCCTTCTGCAGCCACCGCGCCGATTGGCTAAAACGTTCAAGGCGCAGGAGAGAGATAATCAACACTGGTTCATCAGCAGGAGAAACTGCCAACTTGGTGTTAAAATTTAGTAATGAAATCAAATGCATATGCTAATTGCCTTCAGTATTATTTAGAAAAAGTCTATTTTGGATCTAGAAGAAGAATAATCGACACGTAATTACAAATGACAGAGATGTTTATCATCAAGAGGTCTTTGAGAAGAAACAAGCAACTGAGCAAATGGATCCTTATTAAAGCTTCAATTTGTAAGTAAGCTGATCACCCCCATTGAAGGGTGGGCAACAAAAATTCATGGTCCTTTTGTTGTTTATGAAAGTATCAAGTCTAACTATGTTTTAACAAGATTCTCTAATAAGCATTTAGTTAATTATTTATCCCCTGCTATTTTCCCCATGATTTATTCATTGAAAGTACATGAATTCCTGTTCGCCTGAAAATAGACCCTGTTTAAGGGAAAAGAACAAACAGGCATGTGAGAGGCAAATGGCTCTTCCTTTCCACACACACGCGCGCGCACGCACAGTGGGGCAATGGACTTCTTGCGGCTTAAATGCAATAGAGCAATGGTATCAAAATTTTAAGGGAAAATGATTTTCTCCCTCAGATTCTTGGCTCAAACTAACAACCAGTGTAAGGGAAAACTTGAAAAATTCCGAAAAACAAGAGCTCAGGAAACTTCCTTCCCATGCATCCTTTCTTAGGAAATGACTTCAGGAAGTATTCCAGCTAAATAAGAATGTAATTAAGAAATAATAAAGGGACTAGTAATGGTAGCTCAGGATGCTCTTAGGGTGGCAGTTATAGAACAGGAGGATGGGGGTCCAGGAGACAAATCCAGCAGAACAGGAAGTGGGACGGAGTGTGGAGACGCCTGAGGGCTGCCAAGGCTGGGCTGCACTGGAGCCCAGGAAAACTGTGGGTAAAGGGGTCCCCCACCTACTGTGCCCCTGGAAAGAGCTTGCTGCAAAGAGCCACCCTTTCTCAGATGACTGAGGTCACATTCATGGGTGACCCCGTGGTTTGCCTATCTCAAGATCAGACATAGGCATTGCAAATTTACTTTCTTGACCTCGTACATTAATTCAACTGTTTGCACCCAGTGGCCACTCAGGCCAAAACACTTAGTAGCTTTACTGGACCCAATTTCAGTTAAGTTTCTTTCCATTCCCTGAGTCTCTGAGTCCAAGTCCTGAAATCAGCCTGAGCAGGCATCACAATGTAGAATATCTCCTCCTTAACGCCCCTACCCTAAGAAGCTCTGGTAGCGTAGTGGTTACGAATCGGGCTGCGAACCTTAAGGTCAGCGGTTCGAAACTACCAGCTGCTCCACGGGAGAAAGATAAGGCTTTCTACTCCCGTAAAGATTTACACCCTCGGAAACCCTGTACAGGGTCACTATGGGTCGGAACCGACTCCACGGCGCATAACAACAACAACAATGCCCCTACCCTACCCCAAGGTCAGTGGACCACAGCAAAGGGCTTTCCTGCTCCAACGGTCTGGTCACCCACTCATCCTACTCCCCAAACTTCTGCTTACTCTTCCCTATAAAAGGAGCCCTGGGGTGATGCTGTAGGAAGGTCTGTGGTTCAACTCCACGACCCGCTCCTCAGAAACCCTATACCGGGTTGCTATGAGTCAGGACCGACTGGATGGTCAATACAAGAGAATGCCTGTTTCTGCCTTAACTCTGAGGTGCTTGAAAATCTCCAGGTTGGACCAATCCCCATCCTTGAATGCAACTGTCTTCTCAGATAAAGGGTTTCCTGCTGGATTGCTTTTTCTTTGACAAGGTAAAATTAGGGCAAATAAGATAAAAAGGGATATAAAGCTCAAGGAAACAAACACACACCTACTCAATGAAATTTACAATCTGGCATTCTTTGCATCAAATGATGAAATCCACAGAGACTAAATCTATGTGACAAGAAGGCTCGTGGCTCAGGGACAGTGTCACTGAGGAGACAAGCGAGTTTCCACTCAGGACCTGAACGCTACTGGCCATCGTAAAGATGTGTGGTTTCGTGGCTGTCACACCTTAGCCTCAATCTGTGGAAACGGCATCACATGACAGCAGAGTAGGAAGTTCTAGGGGTCGGACCCCTTCCACCGAAACAACTACTGACTGGGAAAATCATAGGTAAACGGTTTCAGAACTCTGGAACCTGACTGAACAGCCAGGGAAAGGCTTTCTGAAAGAGAGGCTGCTGAGCTTAGGTAAGAGAGCGGCAGGTGCCAACTAGTCACCAGCATCCATTTGACAACCTTGCTGTGACGATGACGAAAGCCGCCCGCGTTCCTGGCCTGGCTGACAGGTGCTAGAGAGCGCAGTAGGGACCTTCTCGAAAGACAGGAGGGATCTCACAGCTCCCTGAAGTATGGCTGTGGTTTGTCCCTCTCCGGCTGCAGCGACTTTCCTGGTGGTCTCCACCAGGAGACAGAGTGACACAGAGTACCATTCTGCTTTCCTGTTTGGAGCCAGACCCCTAATGAAACCTTTGTTCGGTCACTGGCTGATAGCAGAGACTACGGAACAGAAATGTCAGTGACCACACACAAGGCAAACACACTGTGCAAAATGGTTTTGAAAAGTTACTGAACAATGGATCGGCAACGTCCCCTAGGAGGGAGAGGATCTGATTTCCACTGACCACATTATAATACTGAAAATACTCAATTCTCCACAACAACAACAAAAACACCAAAGCAATAGAAGGGTGGGGTCATGGTCCAGTCTCAGGAAAGAAACAGAAAGAATTTGACAGAGATGATTCCTGAGGAAATACAGGCATTGGACTCACTAGTCAAAGGAGCCTTAAACCTGCTCAGTGAGCTACAGGAAACACTGGATAAAGAAGTATAGGAAGCCGGGAGAAAAACGTAAGCACAAACAGGGAATACCATAGACAAGATTGTTGTTGTTAAGTGCCGTCAAGTTTGTTCTGACTCATAGCAACCCTGCGTAGGGTTTCCGTAGGGCAGCTGGTGGGTCTGAACTACCAACCTTGTGGTTAGCAGTCCACTGCTTTTCCTACAGTGCCACACCATCCTACAGCAGTAGAAAGTATAAATAAACAGAACCAAGTGCAATTCTGCAGTTGAAATAAAGAATTCTTCGAGGTTTCTATTAGTTTTCTAGGGCCGCTGTAACAAAACACTCCAAAAGACGGCTTTGTAAGTAGAAATGTAATGGCTCACAACTCTGGAGGTAGTAGGTCTGAATCTCGGTCGTCAGCACAAGGGTCAGGGGCCAAGACCCTGTCTTGTCTCCCCCAGCTGCTGGGAATCCCTGGCATTGCTTGGCTTAAGGTTACAGTCCCTCCCTGTCTCCTCTGTATGAACTTCAAATGTAACTCATTACAAGGCCATGACTTATGTTATACTATGAAGTACTCGACTTTGGTTAACTGATAACATTTTCAAAGATTCTGTTTCCAAACAAGGTCCTGGGGGTTACAGGAACTGGGGGTTAGGACGTCAACATACCTCATTGGGAGATATTCTTCACTGTCGTGCAAATGATCACTGAGTCAGAACCAACTCGATGGCGCTTAACAATAGCAATACCGTGTGTGTGTACATTTAGAAACATTTATACCTACATACATAAATGGAGTCCTGGTGTGGCGCTGTGGGTTAATGCGCCAGACTGCAAAGCCGTTTGAACTGCAAAGTCGGTGGTTCAAGCTCACTAGCCGCTCCTTGGAAACCCTATACCAGGGTCGCTATGGGTCGGAACCGACTCCATGGCACTTAACAACAACAACATATACATACACTCACCATATACAGAGCCTTGGTAGAAATTTATTGTATAACTTTCTGTGGGTAAGCATTGAGCTGCTAACTGCAAGTTTGGCAGTTTAAACCCACCAGTCATTCCTCAGGATAAAGATGAGGCTGTCTCTGCTATAGGTTGGAGTCAGCTTGATGGCAGTGGGTAGATAGATGTATGATCATGAGAAGTGAAGACCAGGAAAAGGGCCATCGTCAAGAAGATGAAGCCAGCCGAACTGCTGATATGTCTGAACACCCAGGAAAGGGAGATCACTAGGGAAATTTCCAGGTTTAATTGCATAGGAAACTAAGCTAGCAGAAAAAGTAAGTCTGAACTCCAGGGAGAGCAAAGTGCTATATAGGAAAGGAAGAGTAACCACCAATCACAATGAACCGTGAATATTAATGAAAACAAAACTAAGATGCAATGAGTCTGTGAGACCAGAGAAATGGATGGTACCCAACTCCCAACACTCAACATTTAGATCAAGGATTCCATAGAAGAATTGTAATTAAAATGGGAAAAAGGCAAAAGAGAGTTTCCGATTCTCATGGAATCCAGACTTTCTGGAGTCATTGACGCTGGACGATCCCTTGAAATTAACACCCTGGAGAAATCTCTGAATCTTGAACTGAAACTATCCCCTGAGATCATCTTTGAGCCAAATAATAGTCTTGTCTTATTGGAAAAGAATGCCTAGAGTAAGCATCAGCCTCCTTTAGAGAATTATCTGTATGGGATCGAATTGACAACAACAGCTCAAAGAGAAGAAGAGAGGCCTAAGAGCAGTGAGTCGGTGTGAATGATGGTGGAATTGTCTGGGAAAGGTTACCAAGGAAGTCGGCACAACTTAAAGAACGTAACTAGGTTGTTAGGTGCTATCCACTCGGTTCCGACTCATAGTGACTCTGTATAGGGGCTCTGAGGAGCAGCTGCTGGGTTTGAACTGCTGACCCTGTGCTTCAAAGCCCAGTGCTGATCCCACAATGCCTCACCAGGAGTCTGAAACACGTAACTGGTGTCACTGAGCTGTCCAGGCAGAAATGGTTGACGTGGTGTATGTTTTATGTAGCTTTTCACACACATATGCACGCAAGATGCAGTGATCTGGGGGAACCCATGGAGAGGAGCTGGCATCTGTTACCGTGTGTGGTAGAGGTGTGGGTGGGGTGTGACAGGTGAGAAAGAGCTAAATCCCAGCAGGAAGGCATAGACGAAGCCTCCAAGGTCATAAACCAAGAAGCAGTAATGTAAACTCTGCATTTAGGAATCAATCAGGGGGTTGGGGGGGTCAGTACGCCCATTAAGAGCTGGAAGCCGCTGACTTCTATCAGGGCAGTGGCAGGGCAGGGACTGGCCCCCGGAAGAGCGCATGAGCCACTTCCGTTGAAGAAACAGTGCTCCGTGGCCGCTCAGACACAGTAGCAGGTAAAGGGATGCATCTGCAGGGCTGCAGTTGGTTGGCTTACACTCATGACCACGTAGCAAAGAAGGGATATGTGGAGGGTATCTCAGGGTCCAAGGGTCGTTTGGGAGGGGATATATAAAATAGGAAACATAAGCAACTTGCCCCACGTTTAAGCAGTGTGAGAGAGGCACGTTGGTTGTAGAAGTTAATTAAGAGTGAGGCGATTCCCACTCACAGGGACCCTGAAAGTGCAGAGAACTGCTCCATGGGGTTTCCAAGGCTGGGTCTGATTTCTGAGGTGGCTCTGGGCGGGTTCACACCTCCCACCTTTTGGTTAGTGGTCAACTTTTAGCCTCATGTGGTACCCAGGGACTTGCAAGAAGGAAATTTAACGCAGTTAGAAGAACCTGGTTAGGAGTGCAGCCAGCTCCTCTTCTGTAAGAAAACACCCACAGTCTTGTAACACCTTCTGCAGCTTGCTCATGGATATACAGCCGTTTTTGGATTTGTCTAGTTTGGTGAGTGCTTTGCTGATCTCTTGAAAACGATCCTTAAGCTTGTCCCTGAGAGAGACAGAGAGAGCATTTTAGACACACCACCACAATGAGGAAAACACAATCATTTCTTTACAGCAAGTGTCTTGCAAGCATTCCAAAGTGATGATTTGACGGTTCGTCTGAGAACTGATTTTGAAGCCACTGTGTAGCTCCGCTGTAATGTTTACCTGAAGATGTATCTAGGAAACAAGGAGCAGCCTGGGGCATTCCCGCCTCAGTATTACTCTCATTAGTGAGAGCACATCGCCTTGTTACTGGCGGTGGGACTTTAAGAAGTGTCCTGTGGATGTGAAAATGAAGCCAGAGTGCAGATCTGTGAAAGTTCCCATTTGGTCTGTCACATGTCAGGTCCTGCTCCAGGTTCTGGCACACGTGAGTGGACCACCGAGACACAAGTCTCAGGGCTAGAGGCAGTTGCCTTTGGCGGGGGCAGACAGGCCACAAACAGAAGACAGGAAGGAACACATTGTACCTACTATAGGGGGTGAGTGTGAGCTGCTGGAAGGCTGGCTCCCACACCTGGAGGCCCGGTGCACAATGGCCTGAAGGGTGGCCCAGTCCTAAGCCATCCCTATGACTCCATACCATTGGGACTACTGCGGTTATTTGTGTTTTCACGGATGGATTTCCAGCAGTAGATCACCAGGCCTTTGTTGCTAGTCTCTTAGTTGGGAAGCTCTGCTGAAACCTGCTCAGCATCCTAGCAACACTCAAGGCACTGCTGACAGATGGGAGGGGGCTGCACGCAAGTAAAGGAATCGAACTTGGGTCTTTCCCATGGAAGGTGAGAATTCTACCACTAAACCACCACAGCCCCCACCAAGCCCACTACAGTGACTCTCCAGGACAGAGCAGAACTGCTCCTCTGGGGTTCTGAGACTGTCGACTGTTCCAGGGTCAGACAGCCTCATCTTTCCTAGAAGAACGGCTGGTGGGTTTGAACTGATGACCCTGCCCATAAATCACTGAAAACTCCAGTTAGGGGGGCTTGGGAATGACGGAAGAGGTAGTGGTTGCTATACTAAGTAAGTTCAGGGGCCTCACTGGGAAGTGATACGGGAGCAGAGACTAGGAGATAGAGCAGCCAGACCCAGATGGCTATCCAGGGAGGATATCCGGGGCCCAGCAGACGGCCAGTACCCAGGCCTAGGTCCCAGAGTGGGGGTGCCGTGAGTGAGCAAACAGGCAGGCAATGCTAGCTGTGGGGGTTCAGGACCTCTTCCTTCTACCAGGCTGACTGTTCCTCAAGGACTATTATCAGGAAGACAGAACAAGACTGGGTGCCATCGAATTATGGTGCTGGCAAAGAATACAGAATATGCGTGGAGCGCCAAAAGTATGAGCAAAACTATCTTAGTTACAATACAACCCAAATCCTGCGAGGATGGAAGGGTGCTGAGAGTCTGGCTCGTTTATCTTGTTCACATCATCCAGAAAAACCAATCAATGACGATGACATCATCTTTGGTAGAGTAGAGGGTGGGTGACAATGAAGACAGCCCTCAATAGGATGGAAACAACAGCCAAGATGATTGGTCATGTCTCATTCTGTTACAACAATGGTCACTGTGAGTCACAGCCAACCACAGCAATCACTTTGATGAGCACGAAGCGAAGTCACCAGGTGATAAACTTGGAGGTCCTTGCCTTTGGTTTCCTCAACAACCCTATCAGGGAGAATGACCATTCCTGTTTTATAGACAGAAAAGAGGTGGGACTGGACCCAGACGCAGATACTATGCTGTCCCTTTAAGGAGGTAGACAGGCTGCAAGGTTTCCGCTGTGGTCCCTGCCTCTGCTGCAACTGGTTTTGAATTCTCTTCAGCAGAATTTCACTTGCATGTAACACTAATGATCTTGTTTGATGATTGTCCACATTCCATTGGTTCCCCTCTTTGGAATGGGCACATGACGTCCTTCTCCTGGGACTGGTCCCTGCTGATAATATGTCTATAGTAGGAGAGACTAAGTCTGAACATCCTGGTTTCTAAGGAGCATTTTAGCTGTACTCCTTCCAATACAGATTGGTTTGTTGTTCTTGTAGTCCATGGTACGTTTAAATATTCTTTTCCAAAAACCATAACTCAAATGCATCAATTCTTCTATGGTATTTATTTATGAATTGTCCAACTTCCACATGCATATGAGATTATTAAGAATACCAAGAGCAAAGATGTCCGGCACACCTCAGTCCTCAAACTGACATCTTTGCTCTTGACCAGTTAACGAGGTCTTGGGCAGAAGATTTGCCTAATGAGTCCCTGACTGCTGCTTCCATGAGTGTTGATGGCTGATATGAGCAAAATGAAGTCTTAGGCCGCTTCAATCTTTTCTCCATTTATCTTGATGTTCTTTATTGGTCCATTGGTGGAGATTTGTGTTTTCTTTACATTGAAGTGCAACGCATGCTGAAGGCTGGTGTCTTTGATCTCCATCAGTAAGTATTTTAAGTCCTCTTTGCTTTCAGCAAGCAAGGTTATATCATCTGCATATCGCAGGTTGTTAATGAGTCTTCCTCCAATCCTGATGCCACGTTTTTCTTCATAGAACCCAGCTTCTCGGATTATTTGCTCAGCATACAGGTTGAATACATATGGTGAAAGAATACAACCCTGGCACACACCTTTCCTAATTTTAAACCATTCAGTATTCCCTTGTTCTGTTCAAACTGCCTCTTGGTCTATGTACAGGTTCATCATGAGCACAATGAACTGTTCTGGAATACTCATACTTTGCAATGTTGACCCTAGCTTGTCATGATCCACACAATCGAAAGCCTTTGCAGAATCAATAAAGCACAGGTAAACATCTTTCTGGTATTCTCTGCTTTCAGTCAAGATCCATCTGATGTCACTCTCACAAGTTTTCATAATGTTCACAGGTTACAACCTAGTGTCAACGTAACATTTATATGCATGGAAACCCAAACTTTGGAGGGACGTCTTTGCTGTGATGTTGGTTTTACTGCGGTGGTATGGCCCTCAATCAGCGCTCGCTGCCGGGTCTGCCTGGACTTTGTAGTTTGGTGAATGATCTGCCTTCTCTTCCTCACCACCAGTTCGGGATGGGCTCTTCTGCATTAGCCACCTTAGTACAAACAAGTCGCATCGACCGTCTGGACCTGTGCACCAACCAGCAGCAGCCACATTTTGAATTCCCTTACAGGTTTACATTCAAGGGACAAGAGGAACATTGGACTGTGAACCACAAGGTTGGCTGAGCCCATCAAACCCTCCACTGAAGCAAGATGAGGCTGTCTGCTCCCCATAGAGGGATGCTGCGAGTCAAAACCGACTCAATGGCACATAATACCATCACCAACGAGTCTTAAGTATGAATAAATGAAGATGTAAAACAACAACAAAATACAAAAAAACAAAAAACAGAAGCACTATCGGAAACCTATGTTTTTAGAAAATTGTGGTGTGTAGCGTTTCTTGGAAGGGTCTCTCAGTTGCTAGCAGTTGGCGTGCAGAGCAAATATCCTTACACAGAAAATGAGGGTTTTGCGTACGGACCACACGGCACTGCCAGCCTGATGCAGCACCGTTAGCTGATGTCAGACGCACGGCGGCAAGCCTGCTGCTGCTTTGTGCCAATATCTGGTTCTCACCCGGACATCGACGGGTCTCCCCGGCCTGACACCGATAAGCCCCTGATCACAGAGCGCTTTTGTGTTTTAGTCGGGCGCCTGTTCTGTGGCCAGTTCACAATTATTGTTTAGATTCTGAATCTTTAACTCAGACTCAAGCAAAAAACGTAAAGTATGGAAAATAGATATTTAAAAAAGTAAACAGATCCAGGTGATGTGGAGGGGAGACGCACAAGAATGCCCGAACTTGCAGACAGTACCCATCTGACCAACCCTCGATGGCTTGATAATCAGAACTCGACTAGAGGAAGATAAAAAAGAAAACAATTTTTGATAAAGGAAACGAGGGTAAATTGCTACAATTTGATGAACTTGACCTATACTCATGGAGGTAGTAGCTCAAAATACCAACTGAGAGGGAAGGAGTCTTCACATCAAGTATCAATGATATCCCCTCTGTACACAGGGTAGATAGGGACAGGCAACTTAGACATGGGTTACCTAAAATGAGGGGGTGATAAAGGTATGAAGTGACTGGCTTACAAGTTTTCAAGAGGGAGTTTAGTTTAAGCATGTGTGGGGGAAGATAGAGTCCCCATTGGATAGTTTTCATCTTGTCTAGATGGGTCTGGTACAAAGAGATGGGGATAAGATTCTAATGATGCAATAGTAATTGTTATCATGACTAATTGTGACTGTCACAATTGTAAAGGCAAAAGTTTTATAACAAAAATGGGGGAGTAGTTAATTGTATAGTCCAGAAACAGAGAACCCTAGGACCATAAAGGGAGAAGAGTACAAGTGGAATGCAGGACCCTATCCAAAGAAGCAGCAACACCAGAGATGGAGGCAGAGCTGGGGACATGGAGAGAGGGAGCAGCTGAGGACTCTAGACACATGGAAACAGAGGGACTGAGAGCTAACGGCCAGGAGGCAGGCTTGTAGAATATGCCCTTCAGTGGTTTAAATTATTATATACGCCTGTGTGCTAAAAAAAAAAAAGAGCTAAAATGAATAGAGAAATACTATTAACTGATGGTACATGGAGGGAATTATAATTATTATAATGAAACAAAGCATATGATTTGTTGAATGTAAAACTGATGATAAGTCCTATAAATTCTCACTCAATTCACAACGAAAACTTTAAAAAAAAGTAAACAAGACCCATTGCTGCAGAGCGATTCCAGTTTAGGGCGACACCTTGTGTGTCAGAATAGAAATGTTCCATTGGGTGTTCGTTACAGAAAGATTGCCAGGCTTTTCTTCCTAGGCACCTCTGGGTAGGTTAGAACAACCGTTTTTGTTACCCACCCAGCAGCTGACGTTGAGTCGATTCCAACTCACAGTGATCCTATGTAGGATTTCTGAGGTTGTAACTAGTTACGGGAGCATAAAGTCTCAGTTTTGTGTGGCTCGTGGGTTTGAAGTAGTGACCTTGAGGTTAGCAGTCCGGTGTTTGCCCTACAGTGGCACTAGGGCTCATTTTGTGTCGCCTGGGGACCTGAGGTGGACCTGAGCTGAGGTGGACCTGCGTTGTTCCTGCTGGGGGCCGTGCTGTGAAGTTGAGTCTGAGTCCCAGCGACACCATGTGGCAGAGCCGGTTGCCCCACAGAGCTTTCTAGGTTGGCTGTCACCTTATGGGAGTACACTGCTGGGTCTTTCTCCTGCAGAGCCACTGGGTGAGTCTGAACCACCAACCTTTCAGTTGGCAGTTGAGTGCTTAACAATCACACCACCAGGGCTCCTTAATATGCACCGAGGGCACTCAAAACAAAGTACCTTCTTGGACTCCAGAGGCAAATATGAAATGGCAGCGACTTCAGTGGAAGGATGCAAGTCCCATTAGCACAAATGAGGAGGGGGAAACATCAGGGCAGATCCAGTGACACTTTCAGGAAGTCAGGACGGTGGTTCACTGCTCTCAGGTTGCCAAGATGATCCAGACATGGAGGAGGGACCTGGGCCTGGTGAGGAGCCAGGCTCACAGCAATAGGAAGCAGCGGAGGAGGCAGGGCCAAGGTGCCATGAAGAACACAAGGATTCAAGGTGTGTCTCCACGACCCGTGTTCCTCGGAAGTGCAAAGACACGAGTGGGTAATGAGGCCAAGCCCGCCTGGTAAACATGAAACACACTTTCTCATTAGGGTTTGATTGATACAGTTGTGTTGGCAATTTTGCTTGAACTTTGTCAAACTCCATCCTCTGCCTTCGGGCTTTGTGATAGTGGTTGAAGATGCCATTCGGGGTGTGCCTGAGATGCTTTCTCTTGAGCCCCATGTCTGTGTCCTCAGAGTTCTTATTTCCTTTGGGGCTTCTTGAGCACCAACCCATCCACC